ACGTCACGAATTAATTTTATTACGGTCGCGCAGTGACAACACAAGTCTACTTGGATCTTCAGCGTTGCAACCTAAGATTGAGCTATTCAAGATACAATGGCGAATGCCTCATGTAATGTTGAATGATATCAATAAACTTGCCCTGCTGAGAACATTGGAGAATGGTCGACACCTGAGTATGAGGATCATACTCCGCTCATGGGATCTGTATGAATTTCCTCTGCTGCAAAGCACGACCAAACATCTATGGACTGTCAAAACAGCCACTAATTTGGAAAAACCACGATACGTTATCTTTGCCCTGCAAACTAGTCGAAAAAATGTCATGTCGGAAAATATAACTCAATTCGACAACTGCAATTTAACCAACGTAAAGCTCTATCTAAATTCAGAGTGTTATCCATACGATGACATGAATTTAGATTTTGTAAAAAACAGATATGCAATACTTTATGATATGTATAGCCGTTTCCGCAAATCGTATTATGGATACAACAGTGCTGAGGTATGGTTAACAACTATCGACTTTCTGAAGCATGGTCCTTTCGTGGTTATCGATTGTTCGCGTCAAAACGAATCTGTTAAGAGTGCCACTGTAGATGTGCGGATAGAATTTGAGTGTAGAGAGAATATACCAGCGAATACTACCGCATACTGTCTGATCCTGCATGATCGTGTAGTTGAATACAGTCCACTAACCAACTTAGTGCGCAAAATCAACTAACACATTGGAAAGTATGAGAAAAGAATAATAGAAAACATTAAAAGGTTATACACGACATTTCTTTCCCGAACGTATCGAAGAGTACTTCGCTATGGTTGAACCAATGTTTGCAAGGATTCGTTGTTGGAAAGAGATTTATTGTAAAGGAAGTAGCGATACTTAGGAATGGATCTGTTCTTTCCCATTATATCTTTACTAGTCCCATGCCATGGCATCTTCTCGCAAGATCCGACAAATCGAGAGCATACTGGTTGACGGTTAATCATCATGGACTACGATGGGATGACGGGATCGTTGCATACAGCAGAGCCAAGTACTTGATTGCGACAGCTGTGGTTGGCAAATCATGCGATGTGGAACATAAAGACGTTTTCCCCCCACTCGTATACGTAAAGGGGTGTGAAAAGCGAGAATGGTTGATGAATCTTCTGGACGACAATGTAAAAAGTAACCTGATCATCGAGACCTTGGATGCGGATTACGAGGACATAGTTTCCTTGGACAAATTGGATGCAACCAATATTTTACGATGTAATAATCATATTAAGCATTGTGCTTTACAGAATGTATTAAAAATATTCAATTGGTGGTCTCAGCGCCCGGAGAGAGTTGTAAACCTTTATAAATAAACATTTTTTTTAATGTATTAATGTTTCTCTTTTTATTTCCCATCAAAGTATCTACATAGGTACGCATACATTAGAAAAGTTTTTTTTGCATAGTTTTCGGAATGTCTCGAATACTCTAGAATATTCTGGAGGGTGAATCATGAACGGTGGGATCACTGAAAAGAAGGAGGATCGATAAAATGATCAATTGTGTCGAACTTACATATGAATTTATATTGAAAATTAACGCTGTCTTACCTCGTTTCTGGAGAGGAATCTCGGCAATGGGGTAATATTCCCAATTAATCGCTGGGTCGTTGATATCAATGACATAGTCGGGAAAGCGTTCCCAGATAATTGGTGGGTCATCGATATCACCAGAAATGTCGATGACCTCCACTTCTTTGTTAACTTGCTTGTTTTGGATGATTTCTAAAATTATATATATTATTAGCGTATAAAAAGTGGTTTTAAAATAAGTCATAATTAATATTTTACTGATATATGTAAATTTACCTACGTCGTTATCGACGTCTTCTACCGCCGTTCTTATAGGTGAGAAAATCACATGTTTGGTCGAATTTCCTGGGCTATGGAAAATAATAATCATTAATTTCATATATTTCTAGTGTATTCCCTTATAGAAATATCATACTAAGAATCATTGATAATTACTTATTATCCAGTATTTTTAATACTGAAAATAAGTAATTATCAATGATTCTTAGTATGATATTTCTATAAGGGTTGTAGTTTTTATATAATTATTACGATATTTCGCTTACCTAGTATGGTTGAGTACATTCCCGATCATGCCTCAGACATCCTCCATTTCCTCCCCGTAATCACGTCTGATTATGAGGATTTCCCTCACAATTTCTTGAATCCGATCGTTACAAAGTCTTCCGCTGTTAAACAGCAACACGAATAGCATGCTGCTGCATTCGCAAGCGAAGATATAAAATAAATTATAGTTTTCCGCGTCGTCGCTTTCCGATACGCGAGATAAATATTTCTCGCGATCGATATTCGGGTCCGCGTAAGAACCCGCGACGATACATTCGCGCACTAGAACACTTAATCGCGACATAGTATTCTTCACGTGTTGTGTTGTCGAGGTCTGTACAACTTGTGTTTTCGAAAAGACAACAATTCTTTTTTTCGGGAGGGCTGTTGAAGATAAAAACTAAAAGAATGTCTCTTCCCATCAAAGTATTTCTATGCAGGCATACATTAGATAAAATTCTTTTCGAGACCGAATGTTCTCCTCAAAAGATCTTTCTGGAATATTCGAGAATATTCTAGAAGACGGCGCCCCGGTGGCCGGAGAGGGGGAAAGGCGAGTGGGTGGCGCGGCCCGCTCGCGAACCGCTGCCAACAGGGAGGGGGAAGGCCGCGAACGCGTCGAAAAGGGGAGGATTGGTGAAACGGTCAATTATATCGATATTATGTTAAAAAATATGTGGAAAGATATGTCGGTAAAAACAGATCGCAGGGTTGATAAAAATTACCAATTATGTCGGTAATAATATATCGGTAAAAAATAAATATGTTGGTAAATATAAATATGTTGGTAAAAATATAAATATGTTGGTAAAAAATAAATATGTTGGTAAAAATACCGGTAATATGTTGGTAAAAAAGAAATGTCGGTAAGTCCCCTCTCCAGCGTGACGTCAGTCCCCGCGCCAGCAGTTCCCCACGCCCCGCACCCTCCCTCAGAGGACCTGGGTTAGAACCCCTCTTGTATACTTACTTTTTAGGATTTTTGTGGCAGAATTAAAACTAAGAACGCTAGAGTGTACGCAAGTTCACCTCGTCAAAAACGAAATCTCCGACATCGACCTCTTTAACTATAAAAATATCCATTACTATTTCAAAATTAAACAAAGATTAACACGACTCTAAGAAATTAAACAAAATTTAAAATCATACAAGGACAAAAGAGCCAAAATTATTATGTACTATAATTTAAAGAAAAGTTTACTACTTTATAAGTAAAGTATTGGTAAAATAAGTATTGGTAGATAAGTATTGGTAAAAAAACTTTCTTTTAAGGAAGGTAGCTCCAATGACCTTGACATATATTATAGAGATCACTCTTCTGAAGGTTTTAGTCGTCGCTTAAAAATCGTTAAAAAGTTATTAACAAAGGAAGTTGCTTAAAATGAATGTAATTTTTGGACACCATATATATAAAAACATCAAATGTGTAGGCTAGGAAGGTAGCTGTCCCTGGTACACACACACACACATACATACACTGCTCGCCCGTCCGCGCGCTCGCCTGCTCTCTCGGGCGAGTTGAACGGTGTATGCATATGTTTCTATTATATTTGAAGTTTTATAAATAAAATGTAACTTCTCTCACACATTAATTTAAGCAATGTCTTTATGTCGCAAAATTACATGGATGATTGTTAAATCATCCAAATATAATAGGAACACTCGCGTACATCGCGAGCTCGTCTGGGGGGCGGGCGAGCGCACGAGCGGGTGAGCAGTGTGTGTGTGTGTGTGTGTGCGTGTGTGTGTGCCAGGGGCAGCTACTTTCCTAGCCTATATATTCGATGTTTTTATATATATAGTATCTAAAAATTACATTCATTTTATGCAACTTCCTTTGTTAATAACTTTTTAACGAACAACGACTGATAACTAAAACCTTCAGAAGATCATTCAAGAGGATGACCTCTATAACATATGTCAAGATCAAGGTCATTAGAGGTACCTCTAAAGGGGAGTTTTACCAGTACTTATATCTTTGAATTATAGTAAACAATAACTGCAATTTTGGCTCTTTTGTTCTTGTCATTGATTTTGAATTTTGTTTAATTTCTTAGAGTCGAATTAAACTTTGTTTAATTTTGAAATAGTAATGGATATTTTTATAGTTAAAGAGGTTGATGTCGGAGACCTCGTTTTTGCTCGCGGTGTGTGCGTGTATTCCTATTATATTTAGATGATTTAACGATCATTTATGTAATTTTGCGACACTGCATAAGTTAATGTGTGGGAGAAATTACATCCTATTTATAAAACTTGAAATATAATAGGAACATACGCACACATTCGGGCGAGCGGGCAAGCGCGCGTGCAGGCGGACGAACAGTGTGTGTGTGTGTGTGTGTACATGCGTATGCAACTGAACGTAACACACGGCTTCCAATTTTCAATATGCATTTGTATGAATTTCTTAATGTAACACACGATTTTAATGCGTGATGGAAATTTTAAAAAGTTAGATAAATAACTACCTAGATAGCTAAACCTGCGCAAACAGATTTTGAGCAGAGCTTGCTATCAACTTTTGATGGCAAATAGATAACAAATTTGATGCAGGATCTGTTATATCAAATCTTGCCGCCAAATTGTCGCCAGATATGCGGCAAAGCTTGTTGTGGGATAATTGCTGTAGATTTGCAGCAAAAACCGTGCAGAGCTTGTAGCGATTTGACGGCAGATTAGCGGCAGAAACCGCGCAGACCTTGCTGCGCTGCAAGCTTTGCGCGGTTTTTGCTGCAAATTTGACACCAATTGCCCGACAGCAAGATCTGTCGCCAAAACCGTAGTCTAATGTAGACACAGATGGCTATGGTTTTGTTGTGGATTTTTGATAAAATTTGTTGCCAATCTGCGCGCAGTCTGCACTCAATTTGCTTACTGGGTAACCCGTAGTGTCAGTCAGTTGGATATTGCCGTGTGTTATGTTCAATTGCATACTCACGCACACACCTAGCTTACAAATTCGATATTTTTACGGTATCCAAAATATACGGCATCTAAAAATTACATTTATTTTATGCAAATTCTTTTGTTAATAACTTTTTAACGAACAACGGGCGATGGCTTGTGAAAGTTACTTAGTAGGGTGGCCTCTATAACATATGTGAAGGTTAAGGCTATTAGAGTTGCCTCCCCTAAAGGGAAGTTTACCAATGAAGGCCGCAGTAAAGTGAAAAAAACTCATTAGCAGCTGTATTAGTCGTTCTCCATTAAAATCTCAACTTTATCATCTCATTGTTCGTAAGTTGTGGCAAAAATATAAAAAAGAACACAAAATAATGTCATAAAAATTCGTCCGCTGGTGGAGTGTATAATGTGATTGTCTTACCATAGAAACGAAAAGATGATAAAAAAAGAGCTTTAATAGTTCAGTAGTCATGATACAGAAAAACAAAAATCTCCGTTCAGGAACTTTAATTACGCACTATATAATAATATGATTTAATAAAACAGAAAAATCGAATATACTCTTAATTAATTATCTTGACTCAAGTTATTTATATGATAGAAACTATTTTAAAAATTCTCACAATACAATTACAAAAACATAAATTAGGAGTGTCAATAAGATCGTTTTTCTGTACTAAATCTTTTGTAAACGTTAATGTGGTGGTTCAAATCTTAAATACTTCAAAGAAGAAATCTTTCTTTAATTATGTAATTATAGGAGTTATAGCGGATCAATGTAAAAAGATTAAAATATATGTCAAAATAATATATAGGTAGATGATTTTTAACCCTTTCAGGACGGGAGACATCTTTTAATGCTCTACGGCTTCCATGCATGTAACATATTTTAAAAACTATCAATCCGATATTCACAAAATTTGGTATGTAGAAGTTTTTGGAGTGCTTTTTCCAAATTTGAAGTAAAAAATGTAAAACTCAAAATGGTAGATCAAATATAGCGATATTCAAGATACCAAATTATGTAAATATGATTAAATTTCTGTGGAACTTTATATTCTCTAAATTTGAATTAGTGAAAATCTTTTCTGATTTCTAATTTCGCTCTTCTTAGAGCGGTTATCCTTTATTTTGTTTCTACAATGCATTTGGAACAAAGAACAATTAGTAGAAATGAGAATGAAAAACTGATGAAGATCTTACAGACGTTTCATTGTATCGATATAATGTAAAAATATTATAAATATTTGGCATGGTATTGATGTATGTATCAAAAGAAAATACTCAAAGACTCAGTAATCAAATCAAGATCCCACATGTGATCCATATACAGGGTGTCCCGCATAAAGCATGCCAAAAAAAAAATATAAGTAGAACAAATAAAACTGAACAAAAATTGTAGAGATCAT